TTTGGCGTACTTCTACATCAAACTTCCCTGACGATTACAGTAAGACTGCTAATCTGCTTGTTTAACTGAGATCGGTACTTATAGGAGGACCTGTTTCACTGGTTTCAAAACGTCTGTGCAACGCTAATCTTCTTTAGCCATTAGCGGGTAATGTGATGCTTCACCATAATCGCCAGAATATTCTTCTAATTTTACTTTTCACCCAGTCACACGTACGATCACCAATTATATATAGATAACAAACGTTAATACCCCTCCAGACTAGATCCATGATATAATATATTCATTCAATACTATAAAAATTGGGGTAGCCTCGTGCGTGCAATTCAGAGGTGGTTCTACCGAGATTCCGGTGACAAACATTGATTAGGTTATCATACTGCCCGATGGATGTTTTAAGTAGGAGAAACAACAGTGTTTTCGAAATGAAAAATACGAATGGCGCGAAGGGAACAGTTGTGCGTTAATTGCGCCAAGACGAAATCCCCTTTAGTTTAGCATGTTTCAATAAATCAAGGACGCGTTACAGTCCAAGATTGATGTATAAATTATAAGAGCTTTATTTGTGTACGTGGTTTCTCATTGATATGGGCGCAGCGTGTCTCTGGCAAAATTATTCGTAAAGTATTAATGGGAATCGGAATGATACCACCAGTCTGCATTGAAGTAAGACCCAGTAACGCAACCGTTATCGCAATTTAGGCCGTTTGGAACCCTGAATGACCGCATCTATTTCTGGTAATTTCCAGCCAGTATAGCAAGTAAACAAGTTTTTGGTAGTATTCACCGTTAAATGACTGAATGATGAATCAGCGTTGCTTGAAATCAGAGCTGTGCCCGCCGACTAACGCAAATACTCAAGTCATCAACTACTATGAGCAGGAGGAAGCCTGATCAAGTAGAATGTAAATAGATCTATTTTCTATCGGCTTTTTCTAAAACAGATAGAACACGAATACTCTAAATAGTTTTTACGAAAACGATTCCAAAAGGAATTTAGCATTTTCTGTTGAGGAAGCCATATCTTCGAATATATCGCTGCTAAGGCCATAGACGGTATTGTCGGTTTTTTTTTTTACCTGTCACGTGTAGAGCGTATGACATACAGTAGTTATAAAGCAGATCGGCCCAACAAAATGGTCCACTTCCGATAAATCCGACATTATTGTAGTTATTGGCTGGCTGTTGATCATTGCTTCAATGTGCGACAAAATTGTCGCGAGTTCCCGAAAAAATTATTATAATTGTTCCTAAAATTTCAGAACGGAGACTTCACGATTTGAACTTGCTAGTTGCCACAAGGTCCGGTGTGAGGCCAATATGTATATATATACGGCTTTTGTTACTGTACAAATAAACAACACGTTAGAACCCTTGCATTTTTCGGTTCTGTCATCATGACAATAAACTTTTACTTTTACTCCACAAAAACTTTGGTGAATTTTTGCTGTTAGTCTAGTAACGATGAAAACGCCTAGCAGCTCTAATCTTAAAATAGAAAATTTACTTTTTAATAGTGCTACTTTGGTTTTTCCATGACAAATTAACAAACGAAGACATTTCTAATATAAATCACATTAAAAGCTTCAATTACACAACTTTCTTGCTAATCAACGTCAACAGTTTGTTTCAAATTAATGTAAAGCCGCAGCACTAATTTCCAGTAATTTTTACCGTCGTTCTTCATCACCGGTTCATCCTAGTTTTGTGCTGCACTTCTATCACTGTTGCAAGGGATTCTCACAAATTCAGAGATTTCATCTGAGCCTTTTAGTAATGTTCTCTTGGTCCGCGGCTTGTAGGCTAGCAGTTTAATAGAATTAGCAAGTGATACGCTTAACATGTTAGAAACTTGGCTCTAATTCCAAAAACTGGCAATTTTCCTTACCAACTAGTACTTTATTATACTAGTTCATACCAACTAGTACGAATACACGGGCCCAAGTCTTCCACATTTGAATGGCATTTCTATGAAAGGAAGCATTCATTATCAGCTTGTATACCAAAATACAGGATAATGAATTACGACACGCCGGTTTGTCGGTCTCTTCCAGGAATCATCAAGAAGATGCGGTCGACTTATGTTCACGATGTTTATAAATTAACCATTTGTAGGCTGTTGTTTTTGGTAAATTAAATCTTTTATGCAAATATTTTACAAAGATCGGCGGCAGCCAGAGTTAGTAAACTGGAAGATTTTTAGTAGTTGTATGCACTCTGAAGGCTTGCTCCAGGAATTCGCCTAATTCGATCCAGCCGGAGAAGTTCTTTTACTGGAAGATAATCATTAGCGAAATACCAAATAATTTTCATAAGGCTATTTTAAGATCAAAAAGGGCTACTGCTGTTGTCAGTAAGAGCTTGACTGCTTTCTTAATTGTTGGGCTGCTATCAATGTTTTTATTGTTCCACTTGAGGCATACTCAACGAACAACACGCCAGTAGTTAAAAGAGTTACGTTTAAGCGAGTGAATGGCTTGACATATACAACCAAATCACAACGTGTCTTATGCAGCAAATCGATTGCTTCGTCGGAACTTTATAGTCCCATCGATCGAACGTTTTTCTTCAACGCCGTTTTATTGACGTATCTAAGGGTAGCTTGTGGAAGATGAAAGCTTCTTGCAAATATTAGAAAGCCATTTGCATAAAGCAAAACATCAACCTGAGTATGCCGGTTCTTCATAACACTGGGCGGATCATCAGGGAGTACAGAGAAAACTAGGAAGCTAAGATCGTCAACCTGAGTTGCATTAGAGATCTTGTGAAATGGCTCATGCTTTAAAAGACCATCGTCTACTGTAATCTAGTTCTTTTGAAGTAATTTTGGAAAACCAAATAGGACATTCGCTCAAATGGGTTTGAAATTCAGCCTTTGGTGCTATGCCAAATGCCGCTTTGAAATCCACAGATTCGCCGTAAAGAGTGTGTCCCAAGGACTTGGAATGGTCGGATATGCTTTGAGAGTACAGGGCAATCCGGAGGCGCCGGGCAATGGCCTCTAAAGCCATACTGCTCGTCCGAGATAGCTTTATGATTTTTCAGAAACTCAGAGAGCCAGGAACTCAGAAACGGAAGGTAAAGTTAGAAATTTAGGGCTATGGCTGTTTTAGCGGTATCGCTAACCTGAAAGCTTTCTAGGATCGCTCTTTTCTTTAAAAATCAAAATGAACAATATTCTGCGTCAGTCATTAGGCAACCGACCTTCTTGCAAGCAAGCATCAAAGAAAGCGGTCTAATGAATTTTATATGGTTGTTGCGGACCAAATCTGAACCAGCAAACTTGTTAGGGCGTAGTCTCATTACAGCAAGCAGCTACCCTGAAAAAACCTCAAAATTGCAAACAAGTAGATTGTAAAGTGCTTGAGTTTACTTATCGCATACAGCAACATACACAATGTCAAAGAACAAAATCGGCCTTTGCTAACATGCTGTAGACCTGCCCAAAATATAGATGCGTCTATATGGCTGGTGCTTGTGGTCTAAGGCAGTAGTCATTTCCCGACAGGCTTCCTCATCTTAAGGTCGAGGTAGGATATTGAACTTGTCGATGTGTACTCTTCGATGTTGACTTCTGTTAAAATTCAGAAGATCCAAAGTGCTGTCAAATATAACATATAATATAAAGTACATGAATGCTGTCAAAATTTTTAGGAAGCGCGTATTTATTTGTTTTAGCTGCATCACATGCTTGCGCATAAAGCCTCACACCTACGGGCAGATGAAACCTGAATTCGCTGCCTTCATTGAGAGGGTACTCATGTCTAAAAAATTCGGCATGAGATGGACAAAGATCGGTAGCAGTTACTAGTATGCGAAGTAGCTGTTTAATGTCGGAATTGATGAATCTTTACCACAGAACATCCAAATCTGGGTAAGAAATTACGTTCTTGCACTGTTTGGCTGATCTATTCGGAAGCTGGAATAATCAACTAGGAAGGTGAGCCTTGTGCCGTATACAAAGTTGTTCTTTTAACCATAATAAACGTGCACTCTATGAGAGGAAAACAAGTGTAGGAAGCGATTAGACAAAAGAAATTTCTGCAAATACTTCGATAGCGCTGCCTTTCAGATATACATGCAGAAATAGTCTTCTTTATATATTCATTTGCAGAACGTAAGCATATTTGAGTTTTTGGCCAACTCTAAAAGGCTAATTTTATTAAACATCTTTTTTGGGTCAAGATCGAATAGTTTCAGGAGAAGGTGCTCGTAAGGCCATCTGGAAGAGAATTCGACTCATCAAAGGCATTTATGCGTGGCGTAAAGGGTAGCCCTCCCCCGAACTTCTTCTATGATATGCAAGCATGGATAATTGTCATGTAGATACCATGAAATGTTCAAGCCAAGATGTAAACAAAGTTGTTTTGAAAAAAAACTCATGTATTACAAATTTGACAAACTGAATAACCTTCGTAATACCCTGACTAACCTACATTAGATCCCAAGCTCCTTAGTAGCGTTCGTAGTTGGTTACAAATATATGTTACAAACATATATATATATATATATATTTATTGCCAAGCACATGTTAGTCATTAATATGAGAATTACTTAAATAATACTGCACATTTATGAACAGATATAATCGCATAATTTCTATAGCGCCATTTTGAGACCCAGCCAGGGTTCTCTGCAAATTTTGTCATTCTCTTTTGACGTTTGTATTACTTAAAAGCGAATTCGTAGCCTTATGACTAGTTAAGTATGGTGCTACGCCTTTAATGCCTAGCAACAAAGGGCCTGGAAACCTTCCCTGGAGCGATATATCTGTTTTTGAATTATAGTACAAGGCATGCATACAGAGCAGTTTATGTGCACCAGCACATATCTAAGTTCGTTTCTTTCTTATATATATATATTTGCACACAAATTTCAAAACATTTTCACGCAGTGTTATTTTCATGTATTCCATTTAGTCAAAATTCAAAACTACTTTCTTCTTGGACTTAAGGTGATATTTATTAATAGAATCCTGAAACTGCATGGTCTGTGGATATGAATTCTAGATATAAAGCTTGGTTGCGCTATATCCTCGCTCCTGCATGTTGCCGAACAGATATTTTATTCTGGCCAGGAAACAGGAAAATGTATATATGTACATTATAAAATTTTAAAGTTGTATGATGTAGACCAGTATTTTAAAGATCGCAATAGAGTCTAAAAGCAGACAGTTCAGCGGAATGAAAGCGAACTTTCATACTGCTCCCGTCAAGTTACTAAGACCAACTTTAAACCAAAATTGGGTCTTTTATATCAAATTCGTAATTTGGCCGCAGACCTCTCAGATATAAAAGAAAGACTACACATTTAAGGCGAATCTTTGTAATTCTAGTAAATTGCAACATCTATTTCGCCACAAGCCGTGGAAAGAGACAATGTGCTTAGGTGGTAATTCTTTTAAAATATAAGATCTTCGACAGCACTGGCGTTGTATTTGGCGCGTAACATTGCATTATACAGTTGCCTTCCTGATAATAATTATTATTATCATATTTTTTTTATTTTTAATACATACTGTATATTTTTGCTCTTAGTATCGAAGCCAAACGGCTATCGCCATTGGACCTGCATAACAGCAGACGCCACTATACATTTAAAATATACGCTCAGTTTCTAATAAAAAATGTCCCAGCTCATGTATCAATTTATTCTTTTTTTGCACATAAAGTAGCCTAGATCAGCGCAATATTTGCAGCCTAGATCAACGCAAAAGAGATACCGAATAGACAACTCAAAAAACGATCTCATAAACGGACCCCAGAGTCCGACAAACACCACCAACGAAAGAAAGATTTTATTCGCGTTACACGTAGTTAAAAGTAAACTATAGTCCGATTTCAGGCGAACACCTCTGCATTTATCCTGTTAGAATTAATTTAAGATTCTGTGATACTAATTCCGCTAACTTGTGGCAACTGTCCTATTACAATAATCCTTTCTTCCTAATTCAGTCCATCCATTAGCGACATTTAACTCCTTGCAGTAACTCCTTTCCCTTATGGAAATACTCTAACAGTTCTCTTCCAGAGTACAGTTATTTTATCGGTCTGTTCTAATATTCGATTCGTGTAGCACCTAATCCTTAACGTTTGTAAACTATTGCTTTTTTCTAGATGAAATGCTTTTATAAAGGTCCAGGTGGGATCCTCCAGCCAGGTACGTAGTTATGCCCGTGATAGCGTAGTGAGTAATGTGTTTGCCTGCTAAACTCACGTGGTGGTTTAGACTCAAAACCAAGCGTAAACACACTTAGCTTCGTGTTAGACGCCAGGCACCTGAAATATTACCTAAAGGTTCAAGTACGTAAAACACGAAAAATAAATACAAGCCGTACACGCGGCGCCAGTCTGAGACTTTAACTAACCCAGACTCCATGCTCTTCTAACGTTCTTCCTGCTCTCCAGTTGGAAGAGTCTTATAATCTTAATACCCGATTACATTTATCCTTTTTTCCTATTTCAATTCATATGCTAAATCAAACCGCGTGTAAAACGTGAAAACTATAAATTTTCTCTTAAATTTAACGCTGGGCCCATTTTGTAGAACTTGAGATAACAAGCAGCTTTTCAGTACAACCTTTTGGAGCTTTCCCAACGATTGTTGGGCCAATGATCTTTGAAATAATCCTTCCACCTCTTAGAATACCTAATAGAATTTTAGCGACCTACCAAAATTAGCCCAATCTGAGGACTCTATAAGATTGATGTGAGTTGTACAAGCAGATAAACAGATAGACGCAGAGCTTTAGTAATATAAACATAGTGTATTAAAATAGCCAACGAGTTTCGCTCCATGCCTGTGTTGTCTTTCGGTTAGTCAATAAATGTGAACCCGTTGTAAAGTACAGATGAACGGAAACTAAAGATTTAGTATAGATGCGTAGTTAATTTGTAGCACAAATGCTATCCAACTTAAAGCGGGACTCATAACTACTTGCAGTTTTTACACCCTCTGTGCAAAACGCCGGATACGTCTGAGCTCAGCAGGTCATAACTTTATTCATATCTACAATAAAATCGACGATACCACAAAGAAGGCGCCTTCGTCGAGATGGCATGTGTGATGCTGGGCAACGCCGAACTTGGTTGCCAGTGGGTGAATTAGCACGTCTGTGTGGCATAAGGTGTGCATGGAGCAAGTCAATATTTTGAGTTTCGCGATCATCAGTTAGAATACTTTCGCATGGTCGGGGCCCTAGACGTGCTTCACAGCTACCTAACCTAACCATAGTTGAAGGTGAATCTATTGAGCGGGAACGTCGACGAGCATTTAAAATTGGGCTTTGTGAGTACTCATGGCGAGATATAACTGTAGAGAGATGTTCGCATCTTCGGGGACTAATTATGTAACCCCTGGCAGCAGCACGACTTGGTCTAGGAATGAGCTTCTGGCAATTGTTGTGGCTATTCGGTTAGGGTATAAATTGTGGACGACTACCGTGGTCCTATCGACGAATCGAAGATTAGATAGCTCAAGACCATCGAGAAACTTTGTTGTAAAATGGAATCGTGCGTGACGTGATTGAATGCGCGACATTAGGTGAGTGTCCTGGGAATCTCGTGACGCATGCCGCGTTATATTATTAGAATAAAATTAGACCATTATATTATTAGGAATTAATACACTTCTTGGCAGAGGACTTCATAAGATTTTCAAATAAGATAAACGTATGAGGTCAATGCAGTCTGCGATTAAACCATATTAAACGACTATATCTTCATGCAGTGAAATTTTGGCCTCACTAATTTCAAGAAAATCAGATTAAGCGACGTCAGACGCAGTAAGCCGCATATTGGTGGTAAACTTGCAAATGTGTAAGGTAGATTCGATTGTTTGACGGGTCAATGAGTCGTAGTTGTGGGGAGCCGTCCGAGCACAGAATAAAGATTTCGCCGAAAGGGGCAATAGTCAAGCATATTTTAGAAAACAACCGATGATTTCCTATATGATGACCTATTGTCTACTTATAAGACATTCATCTTAGATAATGGGCACCGTAAAGCACAACAGATCGGTGGTTTTCGATTCTTTTTCTATGCCGCTCACAGATTCTTCATGAACTGCAAACAGGATTTAAAATCGAGAGTGGACTATACGGCCGGTAACGGTTTATTTGGTTGAGAGAAACTTATAGAAGAGCACTTCTTTATAACGCCACTAAATGTACAATATTATTTTTTTCAATAGGGTCTAGCTTCAGCTCTCGTTTAAAGGGCACTACCGCCCTTTGACCATATTCCGCCCTAGTGATGTTGCTAATTATCCACTTTTCACTACCTTGTTACTATTTCTGAAAAGAAAGAATTGTCCTCCTTGAGTTTTAGAAAGCGTTCGGTTATGGTTTGGATGCTCCTGTATTTGCTGTAGTTTGTCATACGTGGGTTATAACCGAGTATTGTGAAAATTTCAACGTCTTCATAGTCAGAAGGTCGACCTGTGTATGCGTAGTCTTCGATGCCAAACGTACCGCTTCTACACCAAAGAAACCACTTTCTGACAGCGTAACCAGCTATGGTATTGAGTCTACGTATGCGTCCAGCTCATACTTAGCCTATTCCAAATAAAACTACAAACTCGATTTTAAATACACCTATTGAGTTTGTGAAAGCTGGCAGACAACCTTACAACTATAGTAAATAATCGCTTATTTCTATCATCCAATGTTGTTAGTGGCGCCAAAATGTAAACCGATTCGACGCGAACCTATGAGAAGACTTAATACTGTATATGTATCCTAAACATCATAGAAAAAGAATTAGGCTCATCAAAGAATTCCACTTGGTAAAGGTTACTGGCAATAAAATATCCATCATGCAGAATTTTAGCAATGCAGACATAAAATAAGTATTCTGCATAGGAAGGTAAAGGCAAAACTGCCAGAGTTTTAAAAACATAAGCGCATGGTTTATGTGGTAGCGGTGAAGAGGCGGGGTAAACACTTTAGTGCTCGGCTCTGCTGTTATACCAGAGCTTCAATTCTTTTATAATTAGGCCAATGTATTTAATTTTGTAGGTCATTTATGAGCTTAAGGAACCGTGGTGTATAGAAAGCTCTAGGAGCAGTCTTTGTAGCTACTGCTAATATAAGATGGAGTTAAGTATGCGCGAGCTTACGGACACTCATAAGTGAACATTAGAAATTTAGGCTGTGGGTGCTCTGGTAATTTATAGGTCTGGAATAACAGGAGATACATCAATCGAAGGTTGGCTTTTGAAGGGCATAGGTATTTAGGTAGTGTAGTAAAACTTGTAGATACAATTACTGTATTGTTGGTAATACCCCTGTGGTACACCAGGCGGCCGTATACGACAGCTACAAGTCCTTCCCTCTTCCGTTCTGGACTCACATGAACGTGCGATTTGGGTTAGCACCAGCGAATGCTGAAATTTTTAAGAACAAACACACCAGGCAATTACGAGTCAATATGCGCAGGCCTAGCACTAATTTTATAAGTTATAGTCGTGCCTAGGTTCAGCAGATCTCATAAGCTCAGCGTTTTTCAAATGATCAGAATTCTGCGAGCGGCTATTTGCACGATTTTCAGTTTAAACCATGTAACGGTCGCTTCTAGCGATAAATTCTAGTGGGGATTTTACTGCGATTGCTGCAATCATCACCTTTCGATATCCTGAATTGGCATAGTCTGCGAAAAACTGTCACGGTCACGGTTAAGGTTAGGTTTATGAATTCATCAACGACTTTTAACTATTCATTATTTAGACGAAATGAGCCCCTTGCAAGCCTTTTACTCCTTCTAAACTTCCATCCAGATCCATAGAAACCCACTTTTCCAACGATGTTACTGAGGGATGCAAGCGAGTGTTGCAGGTGAAATCCGCTCCTGTTATACATTTCGAGATTTTCAACGTATAGGTGTTCCTTTGAGCCAGTCGTGTCGTCTGTTGGATACTCCCTCACTTTGTGACATTATTGCCCCGAATAACCACGTCACTCCGCAGGATATCTTTTGACAGGTTTAACATTCTTGTTGGCACCCCGTGTTGTGCAAGCTTGGTCCGAAAGGTAAATGCGAAGTCAAGCATTACATTAAGATCCACAGACACTAAAAGAAAAGACAAACGATGATGGCTTAGAGTTTTCTCTGTTACCTCCATGAATATTTTGCCGGCTATCAGCAAAAGAGATGATGTGAGATGGCGAAATACAATAAATGGGCAATCTTTATTAATGATCTAAGAATATGTATTTCATTTTTGTTGTATAGAATCCTATATGAATACTCAACGATTTTACAACAATTTAAAATTTTCTGTCTATGAAATTAACAGACACACGAGAATGTTATTTTCTTTCGGTCATGCTGCACATCTTACTCACAGGTATTGAATCAGAAAACTTTTAATGTTGATTACGTTGTTTTTAGAAAAGTTTCTAAATAACGGTGCGCGAATTGTAAGATTGATAAAAATATGGCATTTTTGATAAACGCGCATACCTGAGTAAAAACTCATTTCAATATGTCGTCTTTAAATTGCTGTTACTTTATTATGTATGATAAATTTATTACTAATTTGCTTATTCTAAAGATTTTCTTTCATTTATAGTAACCTATTGTGAGATCATTTCCAATGACATTCTCAATTTCTTCGAATGGGCCACTTGTTTTTTTAAGTTACACTGTATTCTTTATATTGATCAAATCTGACTTCCGACACATGCTTAGTTATTAACCTTTTTACTATTTCTTTCTTAGCAGCCTTTCTATTTTAGTGCAAGTAGAAGATGCCAAATTCGAGCCAGTAAAGAGTCTTACATGATAGCTATACATTCTATATTACAGTAATATAGTATTATAAGACGTCAGTGTTGTTCTTGACCTCTCAAGGGATGATATACATGGCTGAAAAAATTTGAATTTTCTTACATACAGAATAGGATTTTCTTATCGAATAATACATCATCTCTCAAAGCCTCCATTGGTATTCAATCAATACAATTACGAGCAACAACCTCTTAATATTACATTATTATTATCATTATTACTACATTATCTATGAAAAATATTGTTAATATTGGCACTCTCAGGCAGACAAAGATATACAATTATCTGTAATATGATTTATTATTAATAAAGAGTGCTATAAATAATCACCGCCTGCCCGAACTGCACAGTATTTAAACAGAAGAAAGGAGGATAAAAGTAGGCTTATGGTTTTGAAACAGAAAGGTCTAAAGTAAGCAATAGACTTTCGGTTGTAGCACAGACAGTAAGGAAACTGGTTGTTCACACACAAAAAAATATAAGCAGGTAACGATTATTAAAATGTATTTATTATTCTACAATGATGGCCTCATAACACGCACAGCCACGTAAATATTCAAATATGGTCCACCAATGGCACTAAGTTCCATTATTGACCCGTTAGTTTGCCTAAATATGTTTTAATTTTATTGAATACAGTTTAAGCTTTTGTATGTAGCAATCATAGTTGACGTTTTAATCTTTTGTAGTATAGAAGTTAACACATACAGCTAAGCAAAAATATTTATTACAGAACATCTTGCGTATTTCATCAACCATTGCACTAGGACGGAGGAAGAGAATTGAAAAAGTATATATTTGTTTAAACCAGATACCGTAGCGTGTTATTCATCTATCAAAGCGTGTATCTCTCGCATTTGGTAGATACGTTAATTATACTAAGGAACTATTTTTATCTTACACGAACGGTGTATGAACATTTACGCATTTATTACTCTGAAGCCATTGTTTGTAGAATAACTAACAAATAATATTAATCGTTATCTCTATATACTTTTGTATATGAATGACCATCTACGTATTTATTTTCAACCTCTGCTTTAACAGGTAAGCTATTTTTGCCTCCCACCCCGAGTATGGCTATGTCATTGTTGTTGTGGCACTTTCCTACTTCTCCTCCGAACGACTACTTTACGGAAATGATAATATCCACATAGGCAACCTTGTTGTTGTAGCGTACTGTCAAGACTTGGTGTAAGCTGCAAGACTTTTTTGCGTACAAGAGTGAAAAAGTTGGCTGGAAAATTCACCAGAAAGCTTTTCATTCTAAAAGCTTAAACATCTGTTCCTTTTAATTTAAGTTAATCATTCTCAAAGTGTAAGCAATATTCTGCAATGCCTCCCTGTGTGTTTTGATATTGCTTACATATGAAGTAGTTGGGGAGCATTTCACACTGCCACGAGTATTACACTCTAATAGACTGCTGTACAAAGAGGCAACATCAAGCATTGCGAATGGGTGGTTATTACTGAACCATTATCTGTTTTGAGTCAGCATTAACTTGCCAAGGCCGTTAATCCTTGAGGTACGTTTCTCAGACTTTGTTAGAGCCCGTACGAACGACTAGATGACGCTAAGGTAATATATACGTACTGGACAATATTGCTCAGCTATTCGCCAAGACGTTATTATTCACAGCCACATTTCATCGTACAAGTTCTTTTTCTATTAAAGAAACTGACTGAAAGTCAGCATTGAGTTGCATTATTTCTTTGTCCCTTGCTAGTTTTAAATGCTTTGTTTCTAACGGCGTACTAAGTCTACAGGTTTTCTTCATAAGCTTTGTTTGATGGATCTTGATTACATATTAATTCTAATGTGTTTTTAATAAATTTTAACATATAGGGCAAGTTGAACAAGCGTAATTACAGTAATTTTCCGATTCAATTAATATTGCGTAATCTTTAGAAGCAATAACATTGCGTTTTTACTTTGGAGCTGTTTTACTACTGGTACGCAGTGCTAAACTACAATAAACCCTTACTTGAGCCAGTGGTATACTTAGATTGTTAGAACAGCGTTGCAAAGCTATCGTTCAAGGTTTTTGTTGATGGCTGTCAATTTCTCACGTAGTTAGACCTACATTGTTACAAAAAAGCTGATCACATTTGAAAAGTGAAGTTTTTACGACGCTTGGATACACTTCACACATAACTTGCGTTCATGAGAGCTCGAAAAGGAAAATTTTTATGACTTCTTTAGGACTGTTAATTTGGGACGACGTGGGAGACCTTTACACCGACTTCTAAAATTTATAGATAAACATAAATGAATTTTGAAGAATGTCTCCGAATATTTGTACGATGCTAGCAACTTGGGTCGTGCGGCTAATGAAATCAAATAAAGCAGAATTTATTGGCAAGGATGGCGACGCTTGGCGCAATTTACCCTTTGTACTGCCCCTTCAGTTTTTGGAAATAAAGATCTGGAACTACAGTCTTAAAGTTACTTACGGCCGCAAAAGACATTTATTACCATTAATAAAATAAACTTTTCAGTAACTGGTGCATTTGTTTTGAAAGTGATACATCCCCGTATTTTGCGGTTACACCATTTGTGACAGTGATACAACAGATCATCTCTTTTCGAAAACATTCCCAAAAGTAGTGACATATTGCAGCTGCAGCTCTGCATTATATCGCATTACTGTTGTATAGAAAATCAGTAAAGCAAGCTCTATTATAGCTACTGTTTCGAATGCCTTTTCTTGCTAAAGCAAATATAAAACCGTCTTCGGTACCTTTCGACTGTGGCGAGCTAATAATTTACAAAATATTGCTTCTATTATTTATGTCTATTAAAAGCACGCAATGCAGTTGGAGCTTGTGGAATCCCTGCATCGAGCGAGCATAAAATTTATAATTTCTATATAACATAAGACAGCCGTTTTTTTTTTTATCTTCATTAGCAAGTAGAGCAGAGTGGCAGTACCATAGGTATACTGAGTTATATAACGCACAAACTGTACTGTCAGTAGGTCGTACACCACGGACCCGTACAATCGCAAAAATCGTCGTTTTGTACAAAACAACTTCATCGACGTTATATTTCTAAAAAGAGTCGAGCTTACGGCTGTCTCAGCGACACCAGACAACAAGGAAGCCACACTTTGGCGATGGTGAAAGGTCTGACATTTGCCCGATGCTAGCGGTGACCCACCGTAACGAAAGCATTACGCCAAGGCAGTTAAGTGTTGCTTGACAATTTGGCGCTTGCTACGGACTGCTCTTGTAGCAGTAACCGCCAGCGTCAACGACGACGTGACACACATTGCGCATAGCCCGCGAGTGAATGACATGTTTCGTTGTACTGCGTTTGCTGTTTGTTAGGTGGTCTGCGCAACAGCTTTTCAACGTCCGGAGCCGCTTGCTCCTGGCTGGCCGACTTCTCTATAGCAACTTCTCTGCAACAGCCGTTCGGACTCTGGCACCAGCGGTATCATCATGAGCTTCAACATCGGTCGCCTGGTCGGTCGACGCGAAGCTATCGCTGGGTCGGCAAGCAACCGTCTTTCTATTCGACTGTTGCCTAGGAAAGGAAGAACTCGACAAAACCAGTCGGGTCGGCTGCTGGCGCAAGCCCTCCAGTGTTCGCTTGCCTGTCACAACAAGAAAAACCGACCGTTCTGCTATTGCTGTTGTCCATTCGTTCGCATTCATAGTCTACTGCTTCGTTCGTATCTTCAGCCGGATAGTCTTGTTTCACTTCTTTGGCCGGTTATTCGCCCCTTGCTCCTTGTCGGCGGTCTGGATATTGCCTTGGGCTACTGGTGCCTCATGACGCCTATCGAACAGATCGAGGACTGTACGTTTACTTGAGGTGAATGTTATATAGTTGGGTATCTACGTCGCAATAGTTGGTGTAGCTACTGACTAATGGGAACGACGAGGAAACTAGCGTAGCATAACAGAACTACAAGGGGCACTTAATCTGCAAGCACTACACTTTGAGCTATGATACACTAACGGATACACATTCACAATTTAATTTGATTGGGGGCCGAGTATTATATTATATAAAACGGTCAAAAGAATTATCACAGGTACAGCGTAGTGGAGCGAAATATATGGGCAATTCATATATACATCGAATGCCCACACAGCAGGACGAGAGTGGCAAAACGCTCATCAACGAATTCCATTCCATTCGTCAATCAATCAAAGCAGAGACGAATAATGCTGCTGGCGGCGTTTTCGCAGCACTATACTATTTCTACTTCGTGTATCCTGCATCACGTTTTCTTGCACTATTTTAATTTCTGCTTGTGGAACAGGTAACGTTGAATGACAAATTTGCGTTTTACTTAATATTTCTCTACTCTGATTAGGATATTTCCGGAAGGACTTGGTCTGGGTGCCCATCGCATCCTCACTGTGATCACTATTGGTAGTGCTACTTTTATGGGAGGGAGTGCAGGGAGCAAAGACGTCGAGACTTCGGGACCTAGAACTGCTGTCGTCTCCAGACTGGGTTGAGACAATCCAGTTTCGGGTATTACCAGCACCAAATTTTGCAGTTTCCAAGGGCCTGCTATTTGAAACATATTCCGGAGTTCTAACGAAGCTGGCGGGCGCAGACGAAGGTCCCGCTTGAGCGTCCGCCAGATTGCCTCATCTACTTTTTTGTGCCTTTTTTTGTTGCTTGGCCAATTTTTTCCTCTTGAGAATCATCTCGTACAAGTGCTCGAGACCGTCATCAAGGCCGTCGCCTATGATAGCACATGCTGGCTGCACATGATAGAGAGCATTAAGTTCGGACAAACTTAAGGCTTTCTCTATGTCGGCTGGGTCTCTCGCTCCTGGCAGATCTTGTTTGTTTGCTAAAACGAGCACTGGTACAGAAGGGTTTTCTCGCGATATACGCGTTAATTCGATCTTAGCTTCCTCCATACGCTCACAGTCGACCGAATCGAGGACAAATACGATACCATCTGTGCATCGTGTATATGATTTCCACAGAGGTCGAAGCTTATCCTGTCCGCCGACGTCCCATATAAGAAACGACGTTCCCTTGGCTTTACCAGACGTGGCTTTAATTTTCTCACAATTAAAACCAATTGTTGGGACTGTAGACAAATACTGGTCAAATTTGAGTCGATAGAGCACTGTAGTCTTGCCGGCTGAATCTAGTCCAAGCATGACGACATGAAGGGATGACTGCGTCGGAAGTGAGTCTGCAATACCTTTGCCAACGCTTCCACCCATTGCGCTATCTTTCGCAACACTGATAAATTGCCGATCTGACTGCAACAAACCGCCGTAGGCAACGAAAGTGTTATTTTTCAGATGCTTTTAGTTTCGGCTGCAACTTTCATTATCAGTGGTATTAATTGGCACATAACACACCATGACGATCACTCAGTCAGTATAGGAACAACACCACAAGACGACAGTTTACGCTGTTAAAAAAGTCTTCCATTCGTACGGCGTGGATTATCACTTCTAAAAAATATCGATTCAGTCATGGAATAAAGACCTCAAAAGCATAAGCTGTATGCTACACCCAACTCTTTGTAGTTCATATCTGGTTGTCACATAGTAGTCTTCATCCAATCTAGTGTAACAAGCCCGACTAGCGTTGCTTGCATTTTCATTTGTACCTTTTTATGAACTAGCGGCTTTCAGGCCTTCGATCATGAATTTTGCGTACCGTTAAGGGTATTCTGGTTCGATCCTCATTAAAAGAATCTTGATGACTAGAACGGGCCATCGTAGCTACTATATATTACCCTATTGGTGACAGTCAGAGTGTTTTACTATTGATATTGCAGCACATTGCAATACGATTTACGATTGCCCTTCGCCCTTTGAAATGCAAGTGAAGTAGCATAAAGAATACACTGATTCGGTGAATATAGCCGGTGCTTCTTTTTCCATTTTTTAGGCGGTAACCAGAATAGGAAATAAGAAAGGAATAGATCTGGTTCTTGAGTGATTTTATCTCATCTCGAACACGACGGGAATATCCAATTTCGAGTGTGGTCAGTACGAAACTGTGGTGGTAGCTTCCCTTGTAACTTAATTAATCAGGCAAAAATTGCAGCTGAAAAAGATGGGTGCAGCCCGCAGTACTCGAATCACTTCTTAGGTTGACGCTACTGGGTTTGTAGTCGGGCTTAGTGCTACGATATACGGCCTTTTGTAGCCTTTACACCGTTATACGTTAACAACGAACTCACACAAAACCGTCAACGATCTAACCATTTAAGTCACACACTACCCCACACATGCATCACATGTACTATGGGAGCGGCGTGAAGCGAAAGGTTCCCGTCCACCGCTAGCCCTGATCTTCTCTTTCCACAAAATGGCAGAACGATTTTCCCTCTCCAGTCAAAGATGGCGAGCCAGTATGCCAAAGAGCACTAACCTCACCCATGTCTCACAGACACTTGCAATATTTGAACTTGTGCGTCGAATTCCTGTATAGTTAAGAAACGAAAAAATCAGCTGATGTAAAATATTTCACATTAGTCTTCAGAGAAGGGTTTTTTCTACAATCTACAAAGAAATTTATTTACACTGTATTAAAAGGCAAAGGGTTTAAATAATATAAAAAGTTATTAACCAGATTTTAATTAATTGAATTTTAGTATGGTTAGTTTTATACGTTGTATAGTATGATTTTCCGTAAACTTCTGTAATCGTTTTTTGACGCTAACATCACATAAATATTTTAATTACCTTAAAATTATTTGTTCTTTTATCAATAGATTCGATTCCTTTCAAGATATCGCTAAGGCACACTGGAACTCACAACTCTGACACCTTCCGACATGCACTATTTCAGCTTGTAGTTAACAAGCTTTGACATAGCCCTCGAAGATGGCGTACGCTGTTTTTTGAAACGGTGAATGTCCAATAATGTTTTCCCGTGTTCTTTTATAAAAGATTGAATTCGTAACAATATATCTAAACACAGTATATACATCAATGCTAGAACCAAGTCCGCCGAGCTTTGCAGCAACAAGTGGCACACCCTTCCGAGTCATGTAGAGACGGGTATTAATTCAACGAAGCTAACACTTTACTAAGGTTAGATGATTTAGTAAAGAAAGCGTTCTTGTTTGGAGAACATTCTGTATAATGTATTTCTTGCAATATTTCAAAATTTAACAATTTTAAAAACGACACTGCGTCTCAGACAATCTTTCATTGTTACAGTCCAAAATTCACTTGATTAGTGTGCAAAAAAAGATTTTTAGTAAAATTTTTTAATTAGTTCTTTTCTTAAAACTTCCCAACTCCTGGCAGCAGCGATAGCTCTAAGTTACGTTTTATCTCTTCAACTTACAGGATGTCGATACTGCAAAAACAAATGGATGTGCGATTTGAGAAAGATTATTGCAAATATTATTGAAATTATAATACTAAAACAATAATAAAAAATGCCATTAAAATAGGCATGGCACTGGCATTTCGCTTTCTCTTGCACATCCTGCATACTGTGTTAATCTCCTACCGTATAATAGCCAACAGTGAACATTATCGGCTTAATTGTAATGCTGTAGCCTTGTTTATGATAAAAAAAAACAAAGCTATCCACTTTAAAAAATAATACGAATAATATGATAAAATAATAATAACATGCGGGCCTGGTATTTGTAATAAAAGGTATTAAGCGACCTATTTAAGCTATTACATTTAATTAGTAAGAATACTTTTTTTTCGTAGGTACTTTAGTATTCGTCCCTGAACAAATTTAAAAATATCGTCATAGTCGAGATAAATACCGAAGGTTCAAATATCTTTTCATTTTTTTTATTTATTAGAATTTTTATTAGATTACATACGGATCATTCAACAGTCAAGTGCAATATCGTGCATTTACTGGACAATCAAGCGTACATTAATAAGAAGTACCCGTGCTTCCACTTATTACTCATGCAACTCGGTAGAGACTTACGGTGACAGTCACATAGATCAAATGGAGGCAAGCATTTGAATCGATGTAATATAGTGTATGGTTATAGATATTTTCTCATCTTAAAGTAGGCGACTATTTTTGCGAATAGTTTTGATCTCATTTATGTATTAAACTAGGCGAGTATGCATAGGAAACGTCCTTCCCAATAGAGCGACGCTATCGGCAGGCACCACTTAAATTTCTATGGTAGGCTATATTTACCTATTCTATATAATAACATTATCTTATTTTCCGCTATAAATTATTTCCCACTGCAGAGCAGTCTCGTTTGCATTCTTGGTAAACAAAAACATAAAAGCGGAATTAGTTGTCAGAATGAATAATGTCCTAGTGGATGTTACCAAAGCACTTTAAAGCAGTCAAATGTTCATACGGATGATAGCCAAATTATTTTGGATAGTTTTTCTTCTAAGTCTTTTTCTTCAGCGTCTCCAGCGTTTTTGAGTCTTTCTGAAGAACTAAAATGTACCAATTTAATTACTCAAGTTACGTCTAAGAAAACAGTGGCAGTTGCATTCTTACTTCGTTTTCACAATGCTAATGTCCCGTAATCTGTCTTAATGTGTGCTTCACTGTGTTTTTATTAAAACTTTGTACTACAGTCTGGCGTGGATCCTATAAAAATCATTGAGAACTGCAGGTCGTCCAGAATAAGGCCTTCGCTGATGAAGCCCAGCTTTGAAGGTTCGTTCTTAGGTCAAAATGTTCAGTATCCACAACCTATTTAACTACCTAGCAGTACCTAATATCTTCAAGTGGTTGTCTGGGAAGCTACCGGTTGACATTATGGTTTACGGGTTCTCAATTTTACGCGTAGTAAAACCTTAGACATAAGATGTGAAACCTACCTATCTCAAAGAGAAAAGCTGTGCTTGCCAACTTGGCTCAAAAGAGGCAGCTGCAGTAGCGTGAAACAACATTTCAGTAGGAATTCCATCAGTCTCGCTGAGTTTAAGATTAAAGCAGGGGAGTACTGTCTGAAACTATGATTTTTATACCTGAACCTGCAATTTTAAGATACTTTAATAAGGAAAACGCAAAGCTAGTGTCCCTCGTGTATCCCTGTATTTTATAACAAATAAAATGTATGCTATTAAAGGAACAAATTTGTCATCTTCCGAACGCATTTACATGCAGAAACTTAATTTGCGTCAACAATGCCTACTCCTGATATTTATCTTTATATAGATATCGGCGTGGTGTATGCCATAAGTGGGCTTATGGCGCGTTAGGCGTTACCATATATTACAATATATGGTAACGCCTAACGTTCAAGGCCTTTTTACAATAAAATAAAATTGTATGGTTTGTATATATATATTTATATATACTAAAGTTTTTTTTATTAATAAATCCTTAAATCATGTATAGGATTTACAAACTTAAATATTATGTACATGGAATAAAATGTTTTTAGATAAAGTGCAAAACAGCAAATTTTTTCATTTACATTTTTCATCGAATCTGCGAGCATTCTGCGAAAGCTCTCCGGGTATCTTGCAAAAACGAGTAATCTCTACCTGTTGTAACTTCCCTATTAACCTATCTAAATGTTGGTGTGTTTATACGTAGATTATAAGATTTATATGTAAAATATGTATGAGGCGGTCAAGGATAGTGCTTTGAGCTGTCAATCCGATGTTGCTTTGATAGAATCCAAATACCTTTAATTTACTTCTATGCGACCTATACCTATATGCTCACCAGCTGAACAATAAGTCGGTCTTTGAAAAAGCTTAATGTGAGTGGCGTATTAAAAAACTGATTAGAAGTCCAATTACGCGGTATTCCAGCAGTCTATTGTGTTAAAAGTTGGTGCCCTGTTGAGCTGTGCCTTAAGCGGTTTTAGTGTGTCAATTCGAGCGATAGGAATATTTGATCAGTTGTTGCCATACTTCTTCGTTGAAGGACTTTGAGAGGTCTGCAGGCTAATCAAGAGCAGCTAGGATGCGTTCTGCAAAATGAAACTTTCTTGTAGACGTCCCAGGAGGTCTAATCGACGCAAGATTTGAGAGTATCGCTAATTCACCAAACCACGCAGCGGTAGTTTAAAATACATGAGGAATTTTACAAAAACCTAAATATTTTCTGAAAATATATAAAGAGGATTATAACCGATTATAATGGCGATTCCTAATTGGAAATGGCCCAAAAAGCCAAGAAAGCAAAAACACTGAAAACTGAAGATTTTGAGTGTCGTAACTTTTCGGTATTCATCGATTCCATCTGGATGCCTTCTAAGGCTCTGCGGGTTTTCTATGGTGACTATTTTTTGACGAATCGCCTTGACGTGACTATATTAGACCGACCGGCGCAAAATTGCGGGCTTTTCAATCGTTGTAAAATTTAACCTAGCAAATGGAATTAAAGCTTTTTAGTATACTTATTCATTGGAGTTCGCACCATTGTAGTTTCTTTATAAATGTAGATAGCTGCTTTTATCATTTACTTGGACGAACTAAAATTTGTGTACTTTAGGTCACCAGCAGCTCCAATGACTAGACGGAATTTCCTTTATTTAATAAAAATAACCTGGAAGATGCACCTCTCTTTTGTTGGTCATTAGATCTCAATAACGATAGCCTAAAGGCATCTTCGAAAAAAGACAATCGGGAAACAAGTCGTCAATTGGCCGAGAAAATGAACTGCAGACTGCAGTTCGTGACCTATCATCAGTCATCTTTACTCGTTCGAATTTACCCAAAAATTATAATGTTACATAAACTGAGTGAAAGGTACTGAGAAATTTCTTTTCATCATCTCTCAACATTTAGCCCTTCATTAAACAGGAATAACGTACACATGTAGAGAAAGCTGTTACGAATGACAAGAAGTGGTGTCTCTACATCAGTATAAATAGAAATAGTAATGAATAATGGCTTGGGGAAATACGCTTGGTTTCGCATCATGATTTGAGTTGGAACTAAAAGGGTCTTATCTACTGGGAGATGTTTAGTAAAAACAAGACGGTAAACAAGGATCTGCACAATTCAATTTAATTGAATATGCTAAGCTATCCAACCAAAAAACCCAATAGGCAAAGTCATCTTCCTGCCTTACAATCCAATTAAAAAGAAGCCGCCCTGCAAATACTTGAATAAGCCCTTTTGCAATCATCATATCCTCGGTCTCTTACGCCATCGAACCACTTTTTTTTATCACTATGCATGAAGCTGGTAGTCATACATTCAATAATGAAGGAGAGTACCAAAAACTGATTGTACTCCTTCGGCACCAGACTTCAATGAAACGAAGCAAATAACTTGATTGAAAAATGGGAGGAAAGTGGTAAATAGGGAGGACGGATACATAATAAATTAGATTACT